CGTCTTTATGACTTAATTTGGTTTGCGTGTTTGCCCAAGGCATTTGCCACCCCATCAAATGCTCTCCACATAAACAGCTTCACACAATAAACTTGTTGACACTGCGCTGCTAGTCCAAAAAACTCGAACAGCACTTCATTAGTAGCCGCATTCTGCCGTATTTGTTTATAACTTAATCTACCCAAATGTCAACACGAAGCGCGCCTGGAAAATTTCAATGAGTCCTGGTCACGCACAGGACGGGAAAACTAGGTGGTGGTGGAGAGCTAAAAGAGGAACGGTATTAATAGGAAATGTTTAGACAAAGCTCAATTAATTTGCTTGTGACATTACATTTTCCCGAGTTCGTTTTAAAGCTGATCCCGCATCGGAGGTCGTAAGGTTAGCGGCGATATACAAGTATATATATAGACGACAACTCGGCAGTTTATTGCAGGTACGTGTCTTGAATTATTGTCCACACTTTGCCAGGTTGGAGATTAACAAACGTTCTCGCCTGACGTTTGACTGCCTCCACCCATTTTGCCGCATTTTCCTAGGCTCCTTGGAGTTCCCCCTGTATGGAGCTGGCACAATTTCCCACACCGGGCGTTTTATATGCCTGGAAAAATTGATGAGCGTGTAAACATGTGTCTGTGCGCTTTTATTTATGGATTTCCATAACAATCCGGCGTAACATATGTGTCTGAGCCGTTGATTGAAGCGCTTTCCCGCCACTCCGCAAAGGGCCAAGGATGTTTGCCGAGCTGTAAATATGGCCAGAAACTGGGTCACATCACCGCGTTTACTTGGTTTTTGCTGTGGTACTTCCTTAAAGCAAAGCTCAGGAACTTGCAAAATCCACATGCAGTTTGGGCTCAGACTAAGGTGTTACGTGTTTACGTGAGTTTGTTTACCGGCAGTTTTTTCCCACTCCGGGTTAAGTAAACTTGTTTGCTGCTTAAGCTACTTTGCAATAGCAAACCAATTAAAAAGTTGTGCGCGATCTTTGCTTTAATGAACAAAAAGTAGCTAGGAATGAAATTTACAATATATAAAAAAGTCTGTAATAATTACTAAAAATGCTGGATTTCTGAATACAATAAGTCAACGCATATCCCTAATTGGTTTTCTTTCAATTTAATTTAACTGAGAGGCACAAAGCGAATTACAACCCGTTTTAAATCACATTTCATGCCGCCTCCCCTTCACTTTTGCGCCACATTTAACCCGAAATCCTTTTGCCCCTGCGGTTCTTGAAAACTTACCTTGCTCTTTTTTCCCGACTTCCGGGGGATCCAAAGTTTTTCTTGCCTCTTGCCAAAAAGCCATGGCTCGCATAGTCTGCGTGGAATTAACATGGCCCGGTCCGTTGTCAACACGGCGAATGGTTCGGGTTCAGGTGTCAAAATTGTTTTGGCGAGAGTTTGTGGCTGCTTTTACGGCCACGCTTATTTTTGTTAAGCATTTCAAGCACAGGCTTGAGATGTGGCCAAAAAAAACACTTCCCCGGGCACTACACAGTGAAAAATTAATCCAAAGTATCTACAAGCTTAAAACTTTTGAAAATGCATGGCTGAAACTTATCTTATCAAAGCGTGCTAATGATGCAGACTTTTAATTGAAGATACAATAATATCTTTTGAGTTATAATGCGAATAATTTATTACATTTATTAAATATCGATGCGATTTCTCTTGCTAGTTTAAAAAACTACAAAGTTCAATAATCTAATAACAGGAAGTGCTATTTCGCTGAGTGCATTTATCCTGGCTAAGTGTTGCAGGCGCCGACGCTGTCGTTTTGGATGGAAAACTTGGGTATTGCAACAAAAGCATAACAAAAACGCAAAGGAAAATATGGTGGGAATTTTTTGACGCTTTCAAGTTTGCACGCCGCCGACAGCCTGGCAGTGGGGGGAAGGGAAGGGAGGGGAGAGTGGAAAGTGGAAAGCGGGGATAAGGCAAACTATTACATAACACGCATTATACAAAAAGGTGCCAAGCCAGGTGGGCGAGGCGTTTTCCCGGCGGGGAAAATGCATAAAAAGCGCATTTTATTATTTCGCTCGAAACTTGTTTACGGTTCGCTTTCTGCGCGTCGCGCTCTTTCATTATGATGTAATATGGTTTTAACATTATTTTTATTATAAATCAACAAAATGCACTCAACGCGACTTTCTCAGTTGACGCCAAGAACTTTTCCCCCCAGTGAAAGGCCAAAGAAAAGCGTAAGCGGCAATAAAAGAAAAAGGATGGGGCCAGATTGGACTGTGATTTATTTAATACTATTATAGTTATGGCTTTATTACTGTGAAGGGTTCAGATGGCAGGGGCATAAGAACGGTGTCAGAAGCCTGAGAAATATTTTCTTTTAAGAAATTAAAGGCATTTTCCTTATCCGAGCTCACAGCATTTTCAGCAGAAAGAATCAAGTAAAGCTATATATACCATAATACCATTTAATTCATTTGAAAGCTCTTCAAGTATTTTTTCATCTAGGGAACGGCATTTTACTACTATTACTTTAACTACATATGCATATCGATTGCGTTCTCCACTTTCCTTACAATCTTTAGCTTTAAATGGGTTTTCTAACCGCTTGTCAGGAGCAAGAAAGTACAGAGGCCACATTTATCTTTTGGCGTTGCGAAACAACAAATGTCCCAGCTGTCTGTCAAGTCAGTTGCTCCAAAATGGAATATCTCCGGGCCACAGAACGCAGCTGCAATTTTTCGTCTATGCTGCATTTCAAGGATAAAAGTCGTGGCAAGTTTTTACCGCCTCACACTTATTAATATTTTGCCGCTTAAATGTCAGCGGAATTTGTCAACTTCATAACAATGCTGGGAAAATGTTTCCAGACAGGTAAAAGTTGCAGCGATGAAAGTGAAATCGCACTCATTAGGAATCTCTGGGTTGTGGGCTTAAAACTTAAAAAACAATTTATTCATATGAGTAACATCATCTGATACGTGTATATGGTGTAGTATAATCCTCTAGCACATGTTAGTTGTAGCCTTGGTAACTCTGATTTCTTTGGAGCACATACCCACTGCGATATAATTGAGTTCGAAATGTAGTCATCTTGAATTTAAGAGCCTTTGCCTGTTGATTAATGCGACTTGTCACAATATTCACCGATTGTGTGTGCTGTGAATTCAGAATAAGATGCATTGGCATGAGCCATTATCCTTACACCTCTTGCACTGCAATTTCCTGTCCTTAGCCAGCGATTTGCATGCTGATCTCATTAGCACAAAACAAGTTCATCTGCTGCTCCCAGGGAAGCGAATCGCTGGAAAGTGCATCATTTGCATGCAAATGTCGTCGGTAGGCCACTTCCCACTGCATTCCCTTGCCCTTTTCCTTTGCCCACCGAACCCTGGATGGCTGTTCATTTTGCACTTTGGCTCGCCTTTGTTGTGGCTTCTCGTCCTGCAGGACGAAACTTGGCTTTTCTGCAGGGGCACAGGCTCATAAAGCACAGCCGCACTTGCAACTGCCGTTGACACTTTGGCCAATATTCAGAACACGCAAAAAGAAGATGGAAAAAGCATTTGCCGGGCTTAGAGAACTAGCCCGAGGAAAAGAGTGCTTTATGAAAAGTTTCTTTTGGCCGGTGGCGAAACTTCTTGTTTGGCAATTGTCGACCCTGTTGTCGGTTTTATTGCCAAGCAAACGAGGTCTTTACCCACTCATTATGGCAGTTTAGTTGCACTTTTAGTGGGGGCTCTCAAAACCAAAATGACGTGCACATTACCTAAATTTCATTTCAGAAATATTGGCTCTAAGGATATCAGCTTAAATTTCAAACGAGCGCACAAACAGACTTATTAGCCTAAGGAAAAGCGCTTACGAGAAGCACTTACTCAATATCACTCATACGCCCTGTTTGACCAACATTTTCCACTGCTGCCACTTAAAGACCAAATAAATAATGCCAAAGGTAGCTGAAGCATCCACAAGTACCGACGACCATTAAAGCAATGCGCTTCAACGCGCTTCCCAAGTACAATTAGGGATTTCAACGGACGCCAAAAGCCATACGCCGAAATATATTGTGGCCAGCAAACAATAAACAAAAATGAAATGGAAGTCAACGGAGGAAAAACAACCTTTGCAGCTATAAGTAGGGCCAAGAATTGGAAGCCCAAGGCCAAGTTAAGGAAAAAATAAACAAAAATGTAATTTGCGCCACTTAGCAGAGAGCGAATGAACAGTGCCATAAATAATTCCATTTTTTTGGGTATTACAGCGTTGGCCCAGATAATAAGGAAATATGACTTTGTGCTGGGCCTCCTCGTTTGACCGCAAAAATAAAATGTTAAATGAAAAGCCGGCATGAAAAGACACGGAAATGAAAGCGAAAGAAAACCCAGAAGTGGAAACAACAGCAGTTGGCAGATGTCCGAAATCAGCAGCAAAAATTAAAGTTAGAAATTCTAGTAAAAATCAGTTCATGTACCTAAAATAATTAGCAATTTATGTTTATATAAATAAATCAAATCTTAATTGTTGCTTTATTATATATGAATAATTAAACCGTGATTGCCTTCACCAGCATATATCACTGCTTACCCAAATGTGATACACAATATATTTTTGGATGTATTTCCCGCCTTGTTACTTCTATGGGCACGGGAATTCAATTAAGGTGACAAACTGTCCGAATTTCTGACATGGGAAGCGTTAGGCCCCAAAGGACGAAAGGAGTTTGAGTGCGATTGAGACGCACACTTGGGACGACCCTTATATCCTTGATGCATATTCATGGGCTGGCCGGGCGTGGATCATGAATTATGAAATGTAATTGAATGAAATTGAATAATGACGGCGACCGGTGACCGGTGTCAGTTGACAAGAAAAGTGAAATTCCAATGAGCGATTTATGGGCCAATTTCAATTCAATTTTGACAGCCGCAAAATGTCAAAGCCAAGCCAAATGAATAATTTACACACACAAAGGCGCAGATATATATACAGGCGTCATTTGCATGTAAACTTATTGTTAGAAGCACAATGCACTGGTTACTACTACTATTTTTCCCATTATCCTGCCAAGGATTGCCCGAGCGCGAGTTGGAGCTGGAGCTGGAGCTGGATTATGGTCTGGCGGAACCGCAGCGCACTTCGCTGCTGCAGAGCAGTCTCATATTGCAATTCTCGCAGAGCTACAAGCACATCCCCAGGATAACGTACTTCACGTGCCAGAAGCCACAACGCCAGACCCCAAACCAAATCCCCCATGCTGCAGAAGTTCGTGACGCCTTCGCGGCGAAGAATTTTCAGCTGATTAAGAGTCTCTACGACAGCGAGCTCTTTGTGCGGATTGTCCTTCTCGATGTCCTGGCCCAGCCAACTCCATCGAGTGGGCGCCCCAACCGACCGGGCAGCGGACCAACCGGAGGCTTCAGCCAGGCGCCCAGCCAGGCGCAGACCAATTCCGAGTGGCTGGAGGGCGTCCTGCGGATGGAAGCCCTCAGGCAAATTGCGGTCGTGGATCTGGCATGCGGCGCTCTCAGTCGACGATTTCTCGAACTGGTAAGTTGGGGCAGGGCAACTGGTGAGCGCTGCTCCACAGGACACTGCACAAAATATCTTTATAGATATTTATGAAAGGCTTGCTAAGACCCAAAAGTAATGTGCAATGATTTTTGTATCCGACTATATACCTAAACCATTTTGCAAATTCAAACGTACTGGAATTTGTTCCAAGTGCTGGCGCTCACTCCTTATTAAGTACTCAAGTACAATCATTTCAAAGGCTTCCGCCAAGATGCTCTATAGCGAGAAGTTTCACTGGCTATTGATGGAGGATTTCGCCTGGCATGGAAGGATGCAGACAGCCGAGGCATCGGCGAGACGAGAGGAGGGGCAGCTGGAGGAGGAAGCGCCGGGGCAGCAACTGCAGGCGACCAGCGATGAGGACCTGCCCTCCATCGAGAGCTTCTTGGGGGGCATGAACCTGTACATGAACACCGAACTCACTCTGGCCAAGCGAATGTCCGAGGCAGCCCACTACACTCTGTTCGATGTTTGGTGAGTGATTAACTGGCCAGCTACTCAGCTTCGGAATCACCTCAAGCTTCAATCTTGGAATTAAATTTTCCTTTTACTGAAAATACTTTATGCCATGTTTGTCCCTTTATTGTTCACTTCAGGGGACTTGTTGTGTATTGATTGATTGGGGTCATTGATTAGCAGACTGAATAGCAAACATTGCAGGACTATTTCAGCATTCGATTAGGCATAAAATAAGTTGGAATATGCAGTTAATATATTTAATTTAGCGTTTCATACAATTGTTTCATGGCAATTGCGGTTCCAAAACCATTTAATTATAATCATTATATAAACAATTCACTAGCTTTAATGTGTCCAGATCCCTGTTGAACCGTATTGACCTCAAACTGGAGGTGTTTGAGCTCCATTGGCTGAATAATATCAGCACAGTCAAAGGCCAAACTATCATTTCGCCATCACTTGACCACAAAACCATTCGCTCCCCTGAAATACCAGAGAGAAGCGCCCCTTCCGCCTGGTTGCCATCAACACATCAGCCATAATTTCCCAACTGTCGACTTCCCGCCTGCTAATTCCCACAACGACTTGCTCCCATTCTGGACCATCGCTTAGGAACCCCGGACTCAACTACGGCGGACATGTCAATCTGACCGAAATTGGCAGCTTCACGCCGTCGGAGGGAATCCAGTTGCACACATGGTTTCGGACCACGTCCACAGTTCGTCGCAGGATGGACATGCAGCACGCCAGGGTGCGATGCATGGTTGTGGTGAGTATTGGGAAGCTGGGTGGTATGTGCGGATCCATCATCACGGAGTGGGCGGAGTGGGGAGTAGGGTAGCCACAGAAATCACTTGGGTGTTGCTTAATCAATTATAGAAGCCTCCAAAAGTGACGTTGCATTTCACAATTGGATGCAAAATATAAGTAGCATACTTTCAGGCGCCTTTGGAGCTGTTTCTTTTTTAATTTTATTAATGGGTATTAAACAAGTTTACTGCTACCTTGTGACAGCTTTACCAGGTTATACATATAATATATTAGGTTATACATATAATATACCAGGTCATACATATAATATATGTATATCAAGGTGAGCTTGAGTGCATAGTAAGTTGTGTGGTACTTTAAACATCAATGCAGGTCGTGACAACTGAGTATTTTATATTACTTTTGTGCGGCTGCAGCACTAGTTTCTCCCAGTGCAGCAATATATCATTTCATATCTGTCCCTTCGCCAGGTGACCAACAAGAACATGACTGGCACCCTAATGTACTACCTCACGCACACGGTGTCCGCTCACATCGACACGATGAACCGCTTCAACTTCAATCTGCTGATGGCGGTGCGGGACATGTTCAACTGGACGTTCGTCCTGTCCAGGACGACTTCGTGGGGATATGTGAAGAACGGCAGGTTCGACGGCATGATTGGAGCGCTCATACGCAACGAGACGGATATTGGCGGAGCACCGATATTCTACTGGCTGGAGCGGCACAAATGGATCGATGTGGCCGGTCGCAGTTGGTCGAGCCGTCCGTGTTTCATCTTCCGACATCCCAGGAGCACCCAAAAGGATCGCATCGTATTCCTGCAACCATTCACCAACGACGTTTGGGTTCTAATTGTGGGCTGCGGAGTCTTGACGGTATTCATTCTTTGGTTCCTCACCACTATCGAGTGGAAACTGGTGCCACACGATGGCTCGGCGCTGATAAAGCCCAAAGGTGGAGCGCCACCAAGGCACCATTACCAGCACCAGCATCACCAGCCGCCAGTGGAAGCGCCAGCACGTCCCATCACAGCCGTTTCGGTGGTGGCCAGTAGGGAAAAAGTTGGGGAAGAACATGCCACTCCGATCGATGCGGAAACCCTTTGGCAACGCTGCTATCAGAAGCTGAATAAGTACATCAAGGATCGCAAGGCCAGGCAGAAGAAAGCTCCAGAGAGAGTAGGTCTGTTCCTGGAATCCGTGCTGTTCTTCGTGGGGATTATTTGCCAGCAGGGCTTGGGCTTCTCCACAAGTTTTGTTTCGGGTCGCTGCATTGTAATCACCAGTTTGCTCTTCTCATTCTGCATCTATCAGTTTTATTCGGCCAGTATTGTGGGCACTCTTCTCATGGAGAAACCCAAGACCATCAAGACTCTGAGCGACCTGGTGCACAGTTCGCTGAAGGTGGGCATGGAGGATATACTCTACAACAGGGATTACTTTTTGGTAAAGACCTAATAAGTTTGCATTGCATTTGAAGTTTCCATATCCATATTTATGTTCAGCACACCAAAGATCCCGTGTCCATGGAACTGTATGCCAAAAAGATAACCAGTGTGCCCACGACCAAGGAAAACGAAGCCGATGAAGACGAACCAGTGGATCCCAATCCGGCCTCCACGGATCCTGCCAAATCCTACCGGGACATCGTCCACAGCCATGAGACTGGTGCTCATGCCAAGGACAATGCGGCCAGCAATTGGTTGGATCCGGAAACGGGTTTACTTAGGGTCAAACATGAACGTAAGTAGTTCGTAAGCCGTATGAGTAACATAGTCATTCATTTTAAGGATTTAGGGTTCGCCTTCCATGTGGATGTGGCTGCGGCTTACAAGATCATTGCCGAAACCTTTAGTGAACAGGATATTTGCGATCTGACCGAAGTCAGCATGTTTCCGCCCCAAAAAACCGTGAGCATAATGCAAAAGAATTCGCCCATGCGGAAGGTGATTTCCTATGGGTGCGTAAGGACTTGGAAAATTCCCCAACACAACTCATTTTTCTTACCTAAATCTCACTAGATTGAGACGTGTCACCGAAACAGGAATACTCACATATCACTTTAATGTCTGGCACTCGAGGAAGCCGCCCTGTGTGAAGAAAATTGAGACCTCAGACCTGCATGTGAGTTCCAAGAACTTGCGAAAACGCCCCTTTGCAACTTTAAATGTTGAGTACATCCTTTCCAGGTTGACATGGATACTGTGAGCTCGGCGCTGTTGATACTACTCTTCAGCTACGGCATTACCCTTATGATACTGGCCATCGAGATTGTATACTCCAAGTGGCATAATCGGATTCAATTAAAGTGGGTGGGCGGCTCTTGAATGTGATTCAATAAAATGCAAACTCAGAGGGTTTGAGCTCTGACACTTGAGCTCAACTGGAATTAATTGTCGTGAATGAAGTTTTCAGTTCATTTTGAATGCGCGTTTTCCGATTCATTAGCTCGCCACAAAGGAAAAATTCTATTTTCGCGCAGACAACCTGAATGCGTCAAAAGGTAAAAGTTTAATTGAATTAACTTGGCTGCGCGCAAATCAATTGCATAATTAAATTGGATAATGAGGTCAAACTTTTTCGGAATATTTAGAAGCGAGATGGATTTCGCTCAATTAATAGAGGTATTTTCGCTTGAGTAGATTAAGCTTAAATTCGATATCTGCAAGATGCTGAAAATATTTTTTCGTTTTGTCTCGAATAGAAAATGGCTTGCAGCGGGTGGAGAAAAAGTGAGTGAGTCAATTTTGGCCACAAACGAACTACAAAATATCCATTAAGATAACAAGTTTTTCAGTAGTTGTAACACAGTTTTCCTACCCTCCATTCCTTCATATTTTTCATTTTTTGTATCTTAGCCTTTTACCGGGAGCCTTCTTGTCAGCGCACACAAAAGTTCTCGTCCTGGCCCAATGTTTTTTTGGCTCCTAGCCAAAGTGCCGCTCTTAGGCATTTATTTTCGTCCTTTAACCAGCGCCTTGTGTTTGTTTGCGAAATGGGAAAGGACTTGGGCCGCCTTCTAGGCTGAGAAGCCACAACAACAGAGCTCCAAGTCGAGGCAAATCAATTACAAGTAGTGAGAATCTGCAAAGCGCCACGAAAACATGTTGCCCGAAAAGTTGTCAACATTTTTCATTTAATGTCCTTGCTCATTAGTAGTGACCAAAACAAAGACAAGAAAACCCGAAAAGAGTGCCAAATGTTCGATGGGCGGTTGTAATGCTGAAAAACTAAGTGAGTTTTTGGGCTACACGCTTTTTGCCGAGTACACGACTGATTGAAAAAGTTGGCCAGACATATGGGTTTTGCCTCAGTTTCGGTTTAATCCGTACACTTTGAGCTATTTATCCACGCGCGCCATGAGATGCAATTTGGTTGCCTCACTTCGTTGACTGTGACAATTAAATTGTTTTGGCTTTGTTTGAGCAGCAAATTGTGCAACAAAACTTTGGCGGTTGCCAACAAAAATAAGCAGCCAAAAGAAAGTGGCAGCGCAGTGAGGAAACCTGCAGGAGCCGTGGCATAATTAACAAAAGCGCTCAGCGGGGCGAATAATTTTCCCGCTTTGCAGCGTGCAGCTGCACTGGGAAAAATTGCAATAATGTAGGCAATACATTTATCTCATTTTAAATTTAAGGTAGGCGTTGTAAGATTAAGAAATTCTTGATGGAGATGCCTGGATGGTAAAAAGCTGGTAAATTTTCAAAATAATATTTGTCTTAGTGTGCTTTTATTGGATCTCATTTAAAGTTCTTTAAGTGTTCTTGTTTCTAGGCAATCAATTTTGTATTTTATTTAAATATACCGATTCAAACGCATTCTGCTTACCCTGCAATCATAGTTTTATTCCCATTTCTTCTGGCATAGGAGTAAATTAATTAACTCTTTTTATATGTAGCGTTTCTTGGCAAATGTTCTCGATATGTGCATATGCATGGCAAAACAATTTAAATATTTTTATCCGTGTTAGAGGGAGATGAAGTGCCCCTTCTCCTTCAACTCCGTGCTTGGCCAGAACCCAAAGTTTCCGCGCAAAGCCAAACTAAAGTAGTTTCCCTTAAGACGGCGCCGGGCAAGATCGGGTCGAGATTGGACCAGGCTAAATGGGGAGCTGGAGGAGCATATGCTTGGGGCTTGTGTCAAAGTGTGAAAAACTTTACGCGTCTTAATTAAATTTTATATACAGCGCAGGGAAGGAATTATGCGCCAAAATATTGCAACAGCTCCCGCAGAAATCCCTCAACTCCACGGCGAGGTTAACTTTTCAAAAGTGACAGCTGCATCGGCGGGCTGGGGAATGAAAGGAAGCTGAAGGTCTGCCCGCTACTTGACTTTAAGCCAACCAATTAGTGAAAACTTGCTGGATAATTGAGTGCCTGATTATCAAGCTCACTTTGCGTTTTTATCTCCACCTTGTGGCATCATTTTTACGTCGATTCAAAGGAAAGTGAGTTGCTAAAGAAGGGGAGCAGCTATAGAAACTGGAATGTTTACTACACCCCTTTTATTAACAGGTATTCGGGTTTCACTATCTGGGCGTGCAGGTTACCAATTAAAAAGTAATCATATTATAGTATTATAGCTACATATCTGCGATGTGAAACCACAAAATAGTAATCCAACTTTCTATCATGTGTACAACACTTTCCATTACGCATGAAATTCAATTATCTCCACTTGCATTGCATATTCAATATTTACCTCTGCTAATTAACTTTCTTCGTGTGCCAAATGAACAAAGCAAATTTGTAGGGAATTCGAGGTATTCCTGGTTTCTCATTATAATTCCGAGCATATACGAAAGAATGTATGTGACACACATTTGGGGAGCAGGCTGAGATTTGGGTGGGAAAAAATCCAGACACGTGGCCAATTTTGAGTGTCACTGCACGGATTCTTTTTGCCTGTCTGATGAGTTGGAAAATCAGGGAATTTTCTCGGTTTCCGGGAAAGTAGAAATGTACAAAGAGAATTATGGAAATTAAAGCATGGCTAATAGAAACGTTTCAAACTGTTGGTATACAAAAATATATATTTTTTGAAATTTTCTATGCTATCTCACTCGATATGAATAATCACGTTAGCTTAAAGTTAGTTAAAGGTTCGTAGTTAATTAATAATTGCAGGGCTGTAATTGAGCTCCATTCATGTGTTCATGTTTAATTGAATGTAGCTGCCATTGTTTTTTGCCTGACTCGCTTCTGCTGTAAATAATTCCCAAAACAAGTTGTAAACTTTAATGGCATTTTGTTGCCCATTTTTGCATTTCTTTTTTTTGCCCTTTTCGATTAGCTCACTTGTTTTGCCCTCATAATAGTTGACAACTGTAATTTATGATCCTTTTTTGCTGTGCTGGCGGTTTGGCCAGTTGCCAAACTGGTTTTTCCATATACTATTTTTATTATCAACTCTGCAGGTGAATGTAAAAGGTTAAAAGTTAGTCATGGCATTGTTAACTAATGTACGAATGCATTGAGTGCAACAATATCATTCAAGGGATGATAAATATTGTAGCTACAAAGTATTGTACCTTTAAAATAATATTTACATGTTAGTAGCAATTTTTTAGACGAAAGTCAGACAAAAAGGAAGATAAAAAGGAAGACAATGGAAAGCAATATTAATATTAATACGCATTATGGATATTTCTCGAAAGTTTAAAATCGATCAATTGTCGTTTATTCCCTTTCAAGTCGGTTCTTTTCAGCTTTGAAAGTTTCTTCGCCTTGGAAAATTTCTTTTTCCGCCTGTTTCCCCTTTTTCCAGCAACATTCTGTCTAGCTGCTGGCACCGGAAGTCGCCTAGGAGCCAGCCGGAAAGAAAACGCTGGGAAATCGAAAGTTTTGATTTATAATCGAACAAGTTTAGAGCTGCCTTCAATGCAGTGCAGTTGTATTTCTCGGATTTTCCCAGCTTGCCCATTGACTTGGAATCGGATTTGTCATGGCTGATGAATGGAAATGGGAAACTTTTTGCCCCGCTCTTGTGCGAGTATATTATTTAATTTATTTACAATATCCGTTGCGCTACTTGTGCGTTTGTCAGGTGTTCAGTTGCTGAATGCTGGCATTTCATTCAAATGAGCGAACACTGGCCTTTCTTAGGCCCCATAAATTTCAATTAAAATGTCAACAATTTGCGGAGCATCGACAAGATCTCTTTCACAACCAGCAGCCAGCTATATAAATGTATATTGGGAGGATTTATCGCAGCCATTTGCTTATTGACAGCTGGGAAAGTGAGCGTGACATGATGGAAAGTAATCTAATGGAGAGCATAGACCAGCTGACTCAGGTAATTCATCATAAATATGCTGAGCACAAATATAGCCCACCTACACCTGTGGCTGTCGTCGCTGGAAGTCATCAATCTTGCGAAGGGAAGTTGGCTTCCCCTTTAATTTCGCGCGGAAGGAGAAAAATTTAAATAAATTATTTTGTCAGGAAGTACAAGACTACGTCGTTGAGTTGCCAACTAAAATGTAGCCTTCGATTGGAATGAAAAATGCTAAAACACGACAACTAAATGGATTTAAATATGGCGTTCGCCATAAATTATTTGCAAAATGTATCAATTTCCAAGGTATTTGCCTTGTCCATAAATTACAATATTTTGTCTTTTACTTCAGCTTGGGGCTTTCAATTTAAAGCGCTTATCTGTACAAGTGGCTCTAGCTTAAACGTTTAACTGCAAATTTATTGCATATCAATTATGAGTATATTTATATGGTAAGGTAAAATCACACCACATTAATCAGCTTTCTTATTCTGAGGGAGATCCTATTTTTCTATGCCTAAGGTCTAAAAGCTGTGGTTTTCCGCACAACATAGTGACGACCGATTACTTTTGATAAGCCTCAAAAAAGAACCAAGCAGAGGTTTTCAAATGGAGCAAAAGCTGGCTAAAAATTTCACATAAAAATGGGAAATCGCAAATTGTTTGAGTGCATTGCCGCTTGATGAGTGCGTTCACTTGATTGCCGCTTACTAACTCCCACATCCACACCCATTTTCACATCCATTTCCATTCCCTTTTCCATTCCCAGTTCCATTCCCAGCTCCATTCCCGATTCCATTCCCCTAAAATCCAAATCCTCAGCCAACTTGAAACGAGAACTAATGACACAAAGCGCACTAATTCGGTGGGCAATTGTGGATACTCCCCACTCAACTTCCGATCAGGATCACTATTTCCTGTCCCCCAGACGACAAGCGAATTATTGTAATCCACTTGAATTCATTGGGAGCACAATGCGAAAAGGAAAAATGTGGAAACTGAGTGCAATTATCGGGGATTTCCTGACTTGTAGAATGGTTTCCAATCTTGTAAATCACTCATGAGACAGAAATTGCAACAAATTGGACAAGAAACCAATGAACTTAACTTCATCTTA